TGTCGAATAACTTTAGTTATTAAATTTCTGTCATAAGAACTCTGGGGGATTGTCATGCGTCTCAGAACTCGATCGAGGTATGACCTCAAAATTATTGCTAAAAATTGCATTTACATATTTATATAAAAGGTGTATGGGTGAATTTCTTTGGCATGCTAAATATTAATCAATATTTTAAATTTAGAATACTTGATAAAAATCGCGATATCGATAATAGAAGAAAGAGAGAACACATGATTATATGAGGCAAGTGAAATTAATTTGAGAATAGTTTTTCTTTTTATCGTTATCAAGAGTTAATAAAATGCGAACCTCAAATTAACCGCCTTTGTAAAGGCCATCAAGCAGATGAAAGTAGCAGTGGCGATAATAGCCTGGTAAATTAACAAGGGACATTTGCCATGTGTGATAGGGCCAAGGGCAAGAAATATAGAGGTCTTTCTCTTTCAATATCCATTTCCTCGAACCCTTATATCGTAGCCGGGCTTAGTTGTAATACATATCTATATAAAGCATAATATAATATTCGAATGGTGAAGATAGAAACTGCAGCGAATTGAACGTCAAATCCGTTTACTGTCTCTCTCTCTTGAAACTCTCTCGCACAATGCAAATGTCATGGGAATTCAATCAGTTGCAGACACTCTTGCTATTCCAGTTCCTTCAGTTCTGACAGTTTATTTGTTTTTTAAAAATTATTTTTTTTACTATCAGAAGTCATTGACAGTTTGAAAACCTTTCTCCATTTTTTCGATACTTAAGAATATAATAAGAAAATGTAGAGGCAATTATTTATATGTAAATATTATTTTTATGGAATAATTTTCTTATAGAATAAAGTATAAAGAAAATTGTTTAAATAAGGAAATTATTCTATATAGCCTATTTGATTAAATTATAATACAGTGTTGATTTTACCTTGGAATCGTATATGAGTTGATTGCAATTATTGAATATTTTAGCTACTGCACATATATGTGTGAGAAATGTTGTAGTTTCCATATTGCTTGTTTAGGGCTGATTACTATAAGGTTCAATAGTTCAAATTAGCTACCATAATGTCGTTATATCCGTAGTTAAATGCGTGTCAGGTTATTGCAAACTATTTGGTTATGAGAATCATAATAGACTGATTATTATTGTTCACCAAATTACAGACATGCAGTATAAATTATGGCTAGTTTTCAATTGAAGGATACCTAATAGCATCATGACACGCATTGTTATTATATATATATACATATATAGAGAGAGAAACGAACGTTATTTGTGTTTGACAAACTCATTCGATAAAAAAAATAATCTATTCTATTACGTGCAATAAATATCTCTGTCATTATATTAGGGGCATTCCACGGGAGATTTTCATTGAAAATTTTTTTTCTCCGAAACATTTTTTTTCGAAATATATATGAAAAATAAGGATATACGTATTTTTTTATTTTTTTATTTGATAAACCACTTTCGCAGATAGGGGAAAAAATTCTTCAGTCACCAGAGATAGTAATGCAAAAAAAAAAAATTAAAAATCGAAAGTGTCTCTTTTGAGAAAACTCACTTTTTGAGTTTAATTTCAACTTTTTTGTTACTTCTCTTATAGGTACGTTATTTTTGAGCAGATATTTGAAAAATTTAAGAAAAAATAAACAAATTTCATATATAGCATAATTTTTAATTTATTAGTAAAATAGATTAAAAAATGTCCCAAAAACTCACTTCCATCGTTGACGTTAAATTTCAAAAAATCATAACTTCCTTCATTTTTATCAAATAAAAAAATAAAAAAATACGTATATCCTTATTTTTCATATAGATTTCGAAAAAAAATTTTCGGGGAAAAAAAAATTTTCAATGAAAATCTCCCGTGAAATGCCCCATTACTAAAAAACATCACTTTAAATATTGTTATATATTTTATTTCTTGAGACTTGTGTATTTTTATTTTTTATTGTATTTGATTTTTTATTACATTTTAAAAGTTTTATTTTTGTATTTACGTTGAATCTGCTACGTTTATATCAGCTGTAAGAAAATCTTGTTTTCGTTAAAATGAACATGAAGTGGGAAAAAAGATTGTATCACGAGTTCTGAAACTTCTCTGCGGGGCTATAAGTGTATTATTTATGAAAGATTTTGCTAGATTTAGGAACTTTTCGAATGAACGGATGTGCTAAAAAAGTTGTTTGAGATATAAGTATGCGTAAAACAGAGAATGCTTCTAAAATATCCCATTTTATGAGTTATATCATTTCCGGTATTTCTGAATTCAACTCAAACCAATTCCTGAAAGGTAATGGAAAACAATGAGCTTAGTAATAATGTTGTTCAAATTGATTTTTTGCTACGCACTTTGAGATACTTTGTGTTTTATTAAATTACATGAGTCTTCTATTGGAAAAAAAAGTATTTCTTTTTCCTTGGATTTTCTATTAAATATAACTTGAGAGAAAAGAAAAATAAAACTATTATTGTTAATTGAATTTCTATTGTATTTTATTTTTTCAATTTTAAACTTTCTTAAATTATTTTTCATTATTATAATCTTTCTATATTTAATTTTTTCTCTTATTTAATTATATAGTGATTTCACAATTATTATTATTAGTTAAGAAATTATTATTAATTTTTCACTATAAATTATTGGAAAATAAAAGGAAAATTAGTTTGAATTCGTGTGACTCATCCATACATTGAGTTTGAAAGTTCAATAAATTTCTTTCGGCAATAAAATATATTTTCTTTTTTTTATAAGCATTTTGCTGTGCTTTAGATTTCAGGTATAGTGATTTAGTATTTCCTTTTTGAAGAAATGCGGTGTGCTTAAGAGTGATTTTACGAGCGTTTGATTTATTTTTACTGCCCAGTTGGCGATATCTTATAATATTGAGCTAGGCTCAAATTGTCCTCTTTAGCAAATATGTTTCAAATGATCTATAAATAATCGAAACACTTGTTATTCATTTCACAAAAGCATTTTCCATAAAGAAAATGTGTCCATTTAGCTTTTTAATCAATTCCTTTTTTGTGCTTTATCAGGTTTCTTTTTATTTTACATGTTTTATTTACCAGAGAGTATTTATTAAAAGTAAAATTTATTCATAAAATATAAAAGCGTTCAAACTAAATTGAAATATCAAAAATAGATAAAAAATTTTAAAATTAAAGTAAAATATCTTACGAAAGAAAAATCAATATTATTTAATTAACAATTATTAATTATTAATAGATAAATAGATCTGAATATTGTCTTCTCAAATCATTAACATCCTAAAATATAATTATATATCGAGTTTTTGTTATAAAAATAATATTTATCGTTCAATAGAATGTGAATATCAGAATGAAAGTCATAAAAAAATTGTATGATTTTTTTTAACTCACGAACTGTACGATTTTTGTTTTATTGTCTATCAGAGAGAGAGAGAGAAAGAGAGTTTTATCAGAATTTCTCGTGAATATTTTCCTGACCATGAAACGTTTATATTATATTTATAACATTCACACTATGTCAAGTGTTTATTTCACAATTTATGACATGGAAAAAAAAATTATTTCCGTGCCAACATTTCTGTAATTCTTCTGCCGGATGTTTGCGACATTCAGAAATTCAAAATTAGGAGAAAAAGAGATATCATACATTAAGTTGATTCATTTATAGGAAATCGTATATATTCTTTAAAATTGCGATGGTTCAATTAATAATAAAATTTCACGTTTTTCCGTTAATAATTATTAATAATTTATTTAATAATTTTTTGAAAAAAATTACAAGCATAAATAGAATAAAATAGCAAAAAGTACTTTAATGATTATCTAAAATTAATTCACAAATAATAGGCTTCCTCTTGAACGTGTTTGCCGTGAATTATAATAGTTAAAAACACGCTAGAATTATCTTTTTCATTAAAGATGATAATCCAACTTTACAGCATGTATGTAGTAAGGTCTCGCAAATTTGGTTGACTTTCAAACTCGTACTATTTGGTCACAAGCCAACAGTTGCAATTCCTTATTAATTATCCCTTTGTTAACCCTTTCAATGAAAGTATAATTATGTGTTCTCTCATCTTTCATTTATTTCTTTTCAAGAAAACTTTTTTCTATAAAAACTTGAAATATAAAAAAAAACTGCAGATTTTGAATTGAATTTATATTAATTTAAAAAGTTTTCACTGTCTCGGGGAATTAGATTTTTCTATATAGAATCACTGTGTGAATTGTGTTACATATACATTGAAACTAAACATTTTTGTGTCGATAAGAGTTCACCCTTGCCGACCATTTCGTTGAAAAGAAAATTGAGGTTCACCTTTTTCGATAAAATGTTCGAGTAAAACGAAAACCAATCGTTCTCAGTTGTGAATTGGAGAATTTGGAAAAAAATATGTGAATTTTTCAGACCTTATCAAAAAAAATCACCTACACCAAGCGGTGGTGGAGGTAGCAGATCAGGTTGGCGTTCACGAAGAAGTGTTACAACTGCAGGTGCACCTGCACATCAACATCACGTAATTGCAAGTGCTTCCGCAACGGCTCAGGCCAGGATGCAGGCCGAGCAAGGAAGCATTGGCGAACTCAGAGGATATCATAATCTACGCTCCAGGCGGCATACTTTGGCGAATGTTCGGTAAGTCTTTTTTTTTTCCTCAAATTTCCTCAAAATATTTCTGAGACGTTTAGAAAAGCGAAAAATTTTATTTTATATTATTTATTGAAATTACAAATTATTACTAGGCTCCTCGTTAATTCAACCAATTATTTGAGATTTGTTTTTAGTCAATTATTGACATTAGTGATAACCGCCAGTTATTAAATCCCAATTTATTCTGGTTGATATTAATCCATAACAAAAATGTAAAATTACCATTACACTGAAAAAAATTAAGTCAAATAATAGGTTGACTTATAAAATATTTACTAACCAAATAATTTTTATTTAAATTAAAACAGTATTTCTGTATGAACAAATACCACTTGACATAAATAATTATTTGGTTCAAGTAAATATTTATTTGATAATAGTCAATAATTATTTTTCAACTACAAATTGATGCTATTTTTTAATTATAAAACCTTATGTTTCGAACTATTATTTACTCTCTAGAGATTGAAATTCTCTATTCGTTCACTAATTTTTAGTATATTATTTTAGTAATATTTTTCATACTAAAATGACTAAAAATTAGTATAGTTTTTTCGAATTACTATTTAATTTAATTTGTGTTTGATTAGTTACTGTAACTGATGTATAGAGACTTGATAAATTCAACTCCCAACTGTAATTTGTGTCTTTATTCACCTTCAGTTGTCTTATTCATTGTGCGCTTAATCTGAATCGTCACAGTGACAGCTGTGGTTTTTCTCCATTTTAAATTGCTTTTCTCGTTCTGTTAACTTCTTGCCACTCAGTGAACTATTTTTTTCACATATACAATCAGAATCAATATTGGAGAAACTTGAATTATTATTATTATTATTATTAAATTCAACTTGAGGTTCTAGGGAACTTTCTGTATTTTTTGCTCGAGACTTCACTTCTATCTTATGTTTTTTATCTCTACAGTCGTTTTTATTCTTAATTAATTTTGCAAGATAGCTCGCTTCACTATTTTTCTGTGGTGTGTAAAATTTTTTATTAACTCCTACGTGCGAATTAATCGTCACGTCCTCAACAGTTTCTCGTGAAATTGGTTTAGCGGAGGCCTTGCCACGGGAAAATTGTTTTCCCACTTCGTGTGTCTCAATTGTTTCCTCTGTTTGAAATTTCAAATTAGAATTTTGCTGCCGCTTGCAACTACAACAAGTATTGATTTCTGATTGGAAACCTATTAGTTTCTGTGTTAATGTAGCTTGAACGTGACTCCCATTGTCGACTGCATTTGGTGAAACGAATTTTTTACATATGTCACATGTGAATTCAGATTCAGTTGATTTTAAATTTCTTTTTGTTTCATCCTTTGAATCGTTTGATTCATTATTTAAGTTTACTGAGGAGACGGAAATATAATCTGACCCTTCAGCTTGTATCTTTTTCATTTTTCTCATGGGAGTTGGTTGTTTTCTGATTTTCTTTTCTGTTTGCTGTCCAACACTTACAACGGTCCCTATTGATTCATCTTTTACTTTAATGTGAGACAATTTTCTTCTTCTTTCAATTTCTTCGGAACTTTCTTCTTGAGAGGTCAATGAGACTTGTTCAAATCGTTTGCAAAATGTTCCTCTTATGATGTAATAAATACGTTTGGGACGGAATTTTGATTTTTTCTTCGAAATCTGTTTTTAGAAAATTATTATATATTTTAAAAGTAAAAAATTTTTTTCTCAATTAATGTTATTCTTTTCATTAATTTTAATATTTGAAACTAAATACTTGCCTCGTTTCTAAAAGTGCAAATTGACTCTTGACTATCATCTGCTTTTTCTGACAATGATATTTTTTGTTCTATCGATTCCGATTTTGTTTGTTTTAGATTTTTCTGAAATTCAAATTATAATTATTTACCAAAAAAAATATTTATATTATTAGAAATATTTTAAATTAAAATTTAAATTAGAAATGAAGAGAAATTATACCTCAGGTTTGCATATGCAATCCGAGTCACTTTTAGCAAGTTTTTCAAGACTTTCTTTTGATTCTATTTTTTGAGATAGTTGAGGAATTTCTTCATTTAAATCTGAGTTTTCTGGATTTTTTATAACCTCGTCTGGGGGTGGCGTTACTGTAACTTGGACAATTACCACTTTTGCTTCTTCAGGTATCGATGGACTGGATTCAGTCATGATTTGTGATTTCTCTCTAAAAATCGCTATTTCCGAATCTTTCTCGACTTCATCATCTTCTTCTTCTTTTTCTTCTTTTGAGATTATTGGTTTTTCAGCAAACTCATCATTATCACCTGCATTTGACAATTTATCTTCATTTTCTATACTCTCTGATAAAACTTGTTTATCTTCACTTATATTATTTATTTCTTCTTTCTGATCATTTATTTCTTCTTTATCTTCTATTTTTTCATCTATTACTTTTGCTTCTTTAGAAAATGATTCATTAATTTTTTCCTCTTTTTCAACATCTGCAACTAACTGTTTGTCATTTTCATCTTCCTTCTCAGTATGAGATTCAATTTTCTCTTCTAAATATTCTAAACTCTCGTCAGATTTTATTTTCGCTAAAGGTTGATTTATATCCTCATCAGGAGTATTTTCTAAAGATTCGTCTAATTTCACACTAGGTTCAGTGTTTTCTATAGTTTCTGTTACTTTTTCATCAGGTTCAGTGTTTTCTATAGTTTCTTTTACTTTTTCATCAGGTTCTTTAATTTCTTCACTAGATTGTTTTTTCTCATCAGGTTCATAAATTTTTTCTTTTGATTCTAGTACCTCGTGATATTGTCCGAATTCCTTACTAGATTTAAACATTTCAAGTTCTTCAGTTAACTCAGATTGTTTAATTACTGTCTCTGAAAGTATTTCCGGTGTTATTATTTTTTCATATTCTGTTATTTCTTCCAATGGCATCTAAAATAATATTCAAATTAACAATTTGATTCGTGAATTATTTAAAACAATTTTACCTGTAGATAAATTCTAAATGAATTTGATAGTTTCTTTATATCATTAGTATTTTGAAAAAATTTAGAAGAATTCTGAAAAATACGATAAACACGAATGTTAATCACAAATAATAATTTAACTATTTTATAATAAATAATGATGAAAATAAAATTATATTAAAATTTAAATCAAGTATGAAACCTACAGCTATTGTTTTTTCAAGGTTAGTTGTACTTTCCAGCCATGATTTTAGTTCAGTTTTTGGTACAGCAATGTCATCGGTTTCATCAGTTTTTGTTGGTTCTGATTCTTGAAGATTTTCAATGTTTGGAATCTTTTGATCAATGGATTCAATATTTGTTTGGTACTTTTTATTAGGTTCTTCCTTTTTTTGATTTACTTCTACTGGTTCACTTTCTTTGAATTCTGTATCTTCCTGTAATTTAGCGTTTTTGTGCACAGATTTAGACAATTGTAAATGAGATTCTTTAGCGTCAAGTGGCGAATTTTTACCTAAATTATCATCTTCAATTATCTCTTCATAAGTTGATTGAATCTCATCATCTTCAATATCATTGCATGCAAAATTAGCAGCACATGTTTCACCATCTGAATCAGAATCATTTTCTGAACCATCGCAAGATAGGTAATCATCATTTTCTCCATCAGTCATTTGATGCTTACTTGCTATATTAACTTGTTTTGCTGACACACTTCTGTCTAATGTTTCGCCTTTACAGGTAATTTCTTTTGATGCTGTACATTTTTCAATGGTCATTTGGTCTTTACTCGCGACTGGTATTTTCTTCGCTGATAAACATCTGTCCATTTTATCTTTACTGGGTGTTCCTATTCGTTTTGATGATGTACATTTTTCTATCGTCATTTGATCTTTATTTACTTTTTTTGCTGATACACATTTTTCCATTGTCATTTGATCTTTACTATTAATATTTTTTGTTGATAAACATTTGTGTAACATTTCGTCTCGACAGGATATTCCACTTATTTTTGATGACATACATGTTTTTAGAGTGTTTTGATCTTTAGTCGCGAGTTCCATTTTTTTAAACGATGTACATTTCTCCATTGTCGTTGTCTTTGCCATTGAATCTTTATCCGAAACTTTAGCATTAGTGTCATCACCCACAATTTTATCGATACGATCAACTTGGTGTAATTTTAATTCGTTTTTACAGTTTGCTAATTTTTTATTGAGACTCTCAATAGTGTCCTCTAGGGAACAAACTTTATCGGCTAATTGCTGATTAGCCAATGCCTTGAGTTCGAGTTGCTCTTGTAAAGCACTTGTCGTACTTGCTCCATCAGTCTCCATCTTTGACCATAGTTCGTCTGCCTGTTGCAGTGTCCTCATATATGTTTCCTCTCGTCGTTCTAATTCAAAGATATTTCGCTTCATGCAAAGTTCAGCCTCTGCGAGGTCTTGAAGTCTCGCCAAACACTTCAAGTCAGTTGATTTTACCATAGTTGTGCTTGCAACATCGCCAAGCCATTGTTTGCATTTTATTTCTCCACATTCGCCTATAAATAAATTTCTTTTATTTTTTCAATTCCATTTAATCGCGAGTAAATTGGAAAAACTTACCCATTTCACATGAATCCCCATTTGCTTCTTTTTCTTCTTCCTTGAGTTTCCTTAATTCTTGCACCTCTGCTTTAAGTTTCTCGATTCGTTCTTTGTGTTGGGTTTGAGTTTTCTTGGCTTCCTCGAGCTTTCGTTTTTGTTCGCCTAAAGCAAATTCTTTTTCGGACCAGAGAGCACGAGCTTCATCAGCTCTGCGTCGAGCTTGTTTTCTCTCGGCTTCGACTTGACGAACTCGACAGTCATAATGTTGACTGGGAGTGCTTGGACATGGGGTATCCGAAGCGAAATTCTCAAATTGCTTTTCCACAACTTGTCTCATGTTTTGAGCTGAAGTACCCTGAGCCATTCGCCAAATATTGCAAGCCACCACTGCAGGCATTGAACACTCGAGCATCTCAAGACGTTGTCGAAGATTTCCTTCTCTCTTCTCTAATTCCTCATTCTTCATCTCGTGCAAATCGATCATCTCGCGAAAATGCTTCTGACATCGTCGAGGATCGCGGGAATAAGGTTTACATGAGCTTCGTGGTGGAAAATTCATTTTCCCCACGTCATGCCTCATTGTTGTTTCGTGTTTCTCAATTTTTGACACGTCTTTTTTTATTAACGAATCAATATTTTTCTCCACTATCAAATTATCTCCCATTTCATGAGATTCAATAAAATTTTCATTTGTTTTGACACTTGAATTTGATGATGTCAATTTAACTTGTTGCTCTTGTGGTATAATTTCGAAATTATTATCTGAATTGATATCTAATTTAATGACTGATTTAATGTTCGAATTAATATCTGATTTGACCTCTAGTTTCATCTCCTGTTTATTGCTTGGCGAGTCCTCCTCAGTTGTTTCCCCATCATCATCCATATTAATTAATGATCAGTGGTGACGATCAAAAGGTAGATAATTATTTTAGGTTATCGGTATATAAAGATTTTTTTTTCAAATCAAATTTAATTAAATTCAAATAGACAATTTTCAGTACAAAATATTGAGGGGAAATTGTGGTCAAAATGTTAACATTACTTCATTTTCACTGGTTAAATTTAATGTGAAATTCTATAAATTTGGAATTTAATGTTAAAAGTCAAATTTTAATTAGAAACTGAAGTTTGAAATGTTAGTGAATACGTTCAATTATTTCTTTAGGATTTTTAATTTTCGAAAAAAATTACGATTATTTATTTTTAATGTTTTTAATTAAAATCTATACAGTATTATCTGAAATTTAATTATTACTTTAAATATTATAAAAATTTAATAATTTTTAATTCATAAGCAATTATTTTTTTTAGACATTTTCCATAAATTTTCGATTATTTTGTTTCAATTTTTTTTATCAAGGTGATATAATGAATATTCATTAACATTGTTATTATTAATTAAATATGAATTATAATATAACTGCTATATTACAACGCAACGATATAAATTATCATATTCATAATAATGTCGTTTCTGAAAATTGAATTTACAAGTTTCATTTAAAACTTTAAATCATTTCATTTAAATAATATTAAAATACAGTTAAATATTAATTACGTATATGATTAAAATTGATCTGAATTTAGTATGATAATATTTTATAGAAGATTTAAAAAAAATAGTTTATACTAATTTCACAAAGTAGGGAAACTACAGATGTAAAAAGTACGGATAAATGTTGGCAAGTTGAGATGATCTCGTGTGAACTGTTGCGAACTCCTGTTTCAGAGGGAGCGTGTGGTTTACCACAAACTTAACACACGCCAGATGGTGATTCAGCTATTCGAATTTCCTTCGGGTTTTTTAACACGCATGCAGAATACACTAAAGTAATCGCTTTCCTCGTTTCTAGCCACCAAGTCACTTTACTATATACCGGAAATCGATATTCCTTTCAAGAGAGCGAGAGAGAGAGAGAATTTCTCAGATCCTTTTGCAATATATTTTTTTTCATCTCTCTGTATTCCCGCTCGTTTTCTCATCTGACACATTTTTTTTTCTCATTCCCATCTCAGAAAACGGGTTTTCTTTGAATTTCTTTTAAATTTGATGAATTTCAATTTTTTTCATAATCTTGGTTAATGATTGTCGTCATAATCGTTCAGTGCGAAGTTTTTTTTTTTTTATTAATTTATATTTCTGTAATTTTGTTTATAATTTAGGTTTTCAGTGGATTTTTGATTTAAGGAGGAACCGTAACATAACCTCAAATTAAAAACTAATTTTTAACTGTGTTAAACCGAGAGAAAGCATATTTCTCTAAGAGATAAATTAATATTTATTTATTTCAAATAAAATTTTATTTGCGTTGAATAAATTTTTTTATTTTAAATAAAATTTTATTTTGCGCTAAATAAATGTTTTTATTTCAAATAAAATTTTATTTTGCGCTAAATAAATGTTTTTATTTGAAATAAAAGTTTATTTGCCCTAAATAATTTTTTTTTTATTTAAAACAAGTAAAATGTTATTAGAGATAAATATATTTTTATTTGATTCAGATAAATTTTATTATCATTCTCCTTTTTTGATTTGGTAGAAGTATTTTTGCTTTTTTAGTGGAGAATTTTATTTTTTTCTAAATGGAATACAATGATTAATTTTTCACATTCGTTTGGCAAATGTTCGCTAAAGTAACGACGAATATTGGATTTCATCAAAGACCCATAACAACCCACCTGTCGCGTTACAATATTTCAGATACTTCTTTATAGAGAACATAAATTATTTATGAGATTTTCCAAATACTATTATATTTCATGACAATAATGTAATTATTGATTCTATTTTTTTCATTAATTTTTTTTTTATTGTTTTTTTGTATTCTTGTAAATACTATTGTAAACATTGCATCTTCTTTTTACTATATTAGAAATGAATTTAAAGAGTTCTCTTTTTCACTATTTTGTGTCGGATACTGTTTAAATATTTTTTTTTTAAAAAAAGAAGCTCGCAACGCTTTTGACTTTCTTCTTCGCACAAAAGCGGTTCCATTTTGTTGCAAATCCCTCGGAAGATAAAATGGATGGGATAATGGAAAAACGAAGTTTTCCTGTGAAATTACTGGGGAGAATTCTTTTATATATGAATTTGATATAAGCTTTCTCTCGTTGAAATAGATTAAAATTATAAAAAAAAATAAATGAAAAGTTTAGCGGTTAAAAGATAATTTTCTGAGTCTTGAGAATTTCTGTTTCTTTTTTTTAAACTCGAAATATAAGAGAGAATTAGTAGATAAACTGGTAGTATGAAATTGAGTGGTATATACGTATGTTTGATCAAACACCACTTGATCTACTTATACCAATGCTATGCTCGTCAGTGAAAGAGGAAGTTCATGATACGGCAGAAGAAAATGTACTTTACGTACTTAAACGAATTATTCTTCTCAATGCATTAAGACTTTTACTGCTCGACAGAATCGTTCGCAAGATTTGACGCACTTTCGTTTAATTGGAGTTGAAATAAAAAAAAAAAAAAAGAAGGAAGTAAATGCCTGATAACTTTTAAGTACTTCTATCATGATAATTGCTTTTTTATATCGCTTAACATAAATCGAATTTACACTTGTTTATTAGAATTTCTTATCTATTTTTTGTATTTTTGAATGTTCAGTATTTTTTGTTGATTGTTTTTTTAAAAACCTGTGTAAATATTTTTTAAGTGAAATTTTTTTTTGTAAAAAAATATTCAGTTTTATAATGTTGGTATTTTGTATGAAAAATTGCCACGATCGTTGCGGCAAATAATGTGAGAGAATTTCGCATAAGCAGAAAAGCCTTTGCTATATCTTTTCTGAGGTGTAAACTAAGCTGAGAGAGAGGAGGGTAGAGAGAACAAAGGAGATTGAACTTTCTCAGCATCCACATTTTCTAGACTGTACCCCTCTTCTACATCTCCTGAGATCAATATAGCATTGAGGAGTTCAGTTTTATGCAGTGTTCTTAAATTATTATAAAAAATCTCTAAAGAATCTTGCCAATAATTTTAAATTGAAAGTAAATGCTAATAAATTTCCAGAAATAAATTTAAATAAAATTCTTTTATCTCTAAATCTGAAATTCTGAATTAGTAAACAATTAACTAATTCAAATTAGTTAAAAATTTTACTAATACAAATTTAGAGAGTAGTTTAAATATTAATCCAAAATGTTGACAGAACTGTTTTAATAACGCTTTTTTTAAAATTATATTTTCATGTTTTGTATAAATTTTTTTTTTATCTAAATTAAATCATTTTAAAAAAGACAACACATAGAACTGAGTATGTCCATACATAACCATCTTATTGAGATGTAATGCAAGACAGTGTCATTTCCGTTCCTCAAGTAAACAATTTCCGAGAAATGATGGGAGAATTTGTCGATAAAACGTTATTACAACCATGAAGCATATATATATATTCCTTGGGTCCATATTCTCTCTTGAGAGAAAAATAATATTATGTACGTATATTTCTCCAAGTCTTGGTTGACCGAGCTTTAGAATATTGAAAATATGGTTTCCGGTTTACGAGTTGTATATATATACTAACGCAACTTCTTCGATGAGAATACTTTACTTTTATACTCGAAAGTTTTTCAATTCATTTTAATCATCAATCTTTTTCGAAAGTACACGATTGAATCCGTTACATATGAAATAATATTTATTTCAAATGAAACATTGTTTTTCTCTATTGTTGTTGGAAAAAATATATTGAAAAAAGTTATTTCATTGTAACACACTGAAAAAAAAATTATCAGTTACTTGACAAATAAATAATTTTTATTTGAGTCAAATAATATTTGTTTTAAATACAGAAATTATTGGTTCAAATAAAAATTATTTGATTCAAGTAAATATTTATTTTCTAATATAGCTAAATAAATTTTTTTTTCATTGTATTACAAGAAGTGCTTTTTTGTGAAATTTTGTATACGTACAAAATTTCTTAAATTAAGACACTAAAATATATCTTTTTTTTGTATAGTCTCGTTAAGGTCTTGTTATCTTTTGAATTATTTACACATTTTTATTGATTTTGACGCTAGAGTCACCTTCTGTAAAATGCATTAATTTTAAATATTATATGCTTTTAAACTTTAAAGACAGTTTTGTCTTTTCATTTTTATAAATTGTAAAATAATGGTTTCATTGTACTATATCACTTGACTTTTTAATAACACGGAATTTATAAAACATTATAAAGAAACCTTGAATTACCGGAAAACTTTTCTTCCTAGTTTAATAATATACTTGGCATTATCTAATATTTATAAATTATTTTTAATTCATCAACATAATTTTAAAAAAATAAATAAAAGTAAATTCATAATATATAAAAGTACATAATAAAAATATAGAAATTTAAAAATATTAAAATGTTTACTTGTCATATAAAATAAAACTGAAAATCTAAATTTTTTTGTATAAAAATAATATTTATTAAAAATATAAATTAAAAAATTGTTTTTTCGTTTTCTCTTTGAGATTTTGTTTTTAAATAATTTTTTTATTATATAAAATTTCATGTTACAATATATGTAAAGTACAGTAAACTGTCAATTTAATGTTAATTGAATTGTTAAACCAAATTAGTTGAATAATTGTTGTAATTCACTTGACTCAAAATTATTATTGTTTGCAGACATAATTTTGATATTGTACTTAAATATTTTGAATTTTGGGGCATGTTAGTAAGTTAGGATATCAAATTTTATGGGATTAGGAGAATTATGTAGATGTTATTAAGGCTGCTGAAACCATAACTGTGTTTACTCCTAATTCTGAAAGTTCCATCCCGCAAGTTGGATGAAATTTTGTCTTATTTTACCACCAAAAAGACGTTGTATTTTGCAAGAGATTTTATTGAGCTTCTTTTTTTTAATAATAATTTTCTTCCACCGAACAATAAATTACTGAAAAATTAAAATTGAAGCAAAAAAATCAGATTTAAAATATAATTTTCGTAGTTTTTTTTTTTGTATAGTAAAAGTCCGTTTTAATGAGATGGAAATGTCATTCTTTCGATGACAGTAGTAAAAAGCAGTTTTAGTCAGACAAAATCTTATACTCGTTAAAATTTTTTTTTAAACTAAAAAAAGGAAGTAT